TTACTTTTTGTATTCACATTGGGTCGTTAATATTTTCGTAATTACACCACTTTAAAAGAAAAAAATATAAAACTAATTTTAATTAGTATTGAATTAATTTTGAAACATATTAGTACTAATATCGTACTAATATCTTACATACAACAAATTTCTTTGTACTGTACTTAAAGGGCAACGGACTGTTAAATTCTTTAAGCAACGCCAGCCTTTCAGGGTGACTTTTCGTTCTTCTGTTTTGTTGCGTGTCTACACAATAATATAGAATTACAAAACTTATGTTTTTCTTCACAGAGGGCCGATTATTCTTTGCCTTAAAGTATACTAAAAAATGTTCTTATGCACACAAATCTTCATCTTACGCTTTGTGAAATTTGTTTGTCAATTGCATAAGAGTGCAGTGAGCCTCATACCATCGAAGAAATAAATGTTTGTAAAAAACTTACGTAGAAACAGAACGTCGAAATTAATCTTTGTGTTTTGTCTTCAAATGTTAACTTATGACGTGATTGTTGCTTACTTACACATAAAAATAAAGGGATATTCAATGATATTTATGAGAGGAAACGTCTTTCTCTATCTGATTCATTCATCTTTTTAAATCGACACGGTCACATTTCAACATTGTTTGAATAATTTCAACTACTTTAAACACATACAATGGTTTCAATCGGATATTGTTTTTTTTGTTTTATTGGATTTTTAATTTTTTTCATTCTAATAATAATAATAATAATAATAATAATATGACACTTCCTACCGCTGGTTGAAACTGGCTAGGCACCAGACTACTTCCCTTGAACCCCATTCCGCCAGTTGAAACCCGAAGTAGTTCATGGCTCCTTCAGTACCCTAACAAACAAGCACGGACCGCGCACGATCTTTCCTTCCTCTTCCTCATCCATTCTCATTCTCTCTCTATATTTACAACTGCATTTACATGCACTACAGTACGGGAGGACCGTCGAAAGCTTAAAGCTTGTCCCAGCTGATGTAGCGCCTCGCTGGTAAGATACCTGGTTGAGGGAAACCCCGTCAGCGAACTAGTACGTAGGCAGCAGATCTCACCATCAAGCGGGGGAAGATCACCGCTACCTCCCGAGAGAAAAAAACAACACACATTTGCGGGACTAATGACCTTAGAAGTTGACGTGACCGGAATCACTAATAATGAATCAGCCCCGACACCAAAACCTACACTGTCATTGCCTCCCATCACTGCTACCGCAAACACAACCGGCACCGCCGCCTCCCGGCACCGCCGCCTCCCGGCACCGCCGCCTCCGTCACCGCCATCGCCAAAGTCTCTACCGCCGCGTGCATCGTCAGCCAACGCCACGCCATCGCCTCCCACCGCCACCCACATCCGGCGCGCCGCACAGGCCTGCGGTGCCGTCGCAGGGGGGGCGCACCTTCGTCGCCCCTCGCGCGCCCGCGCGGACGCGTGCGGCCCTTTCGCGTGACGGCGGCTCGCGCCCGCGCCGCGCCCTCCTCCCGCGCCTTTGCTCAACAGAGGCAGCGGCCGGCGCATCGCCGGCCCAGACCGGCATCGGCGGTCCGCGCCCGCCAGAGGGTCCGATTCATCGGCCTTCCTCGCTGCCACGACGGCCCCGCCCCGCGCCATGTGGTCGGTCGCTGGGTACCTTCAAAGTAAGCAAAGTATGAGGCCGCGCACCGATATTCATAATTACCTTATATTGGAGACACACACTAAAATGTTACACAACGTTCTATGGCTAAGTATGACATCAGAAGATCATTCTTTTGCTACTACTTCTGCCTGGGAAAATCTCAAACGAAAGCTATTACTATCGTGTGCTCACTGGTTTATGGTACGCAACTCATCGGTTCTGCCCGCTTGGCGGTTCAAATATATGTTCACCGCGCAGATCGTTTACAGCCAAAAAACCAGTGCCCAGAAATTGAATTAAGAAGTGAAGAGACAAGACATCTTTCTCGCCCGCCCCTCCCCCATTCGATTCAGTATCGTACCATCTAATTATCTTAGCTGAAAAAGATGGACTTCTCAGTATTTACCTTGCACGAAGCGGTGTTAACTTCTATTCAGTTGATACATTTCAATAAATCGCCTCTTTTCATAAGTTCACGTCGCTCCATTTCGCATTTCTGTGATCAGTCTCCGAGTATTGCCTGGTAATTTGCATCACCTCAATTCACTGATTCTTCGCCTAGCGCGTTACCACGTTGAACAGGGGTGCTCTGTACGTAGTTTGCGTGCCTCCCAACACGTTCACTCTTGCATACAAGTGTGTAGAGCGTTAGCGATGCAAGTCGAACACCAACCTCAAGGCCGGGTGGTTACAAACCCACAAGAACACCAATTCACTATTCAAATACCCATCTTTTATTAATTTGACCGAAAATATGTTTCAAAAAATAGCAAATTGGGTACGATACTTATTACATTGACTATAAGACCTTTGTTCTATAATACACAAACTGACATATTCTAGTAAGAAAAATATACAGTCAGGGGAGATTCCTATGGAGCGCAGCGCTACGATACAGACACTACACTGTATCCCCCTCTCGAGAAAAACCTTGTGCGCGTTCTGAATTATATTCGATTCAGGAATATTAACAGCGACCCGCGTTCATTAATCCTGATCCAGAAGAACGCCGCCCTGTCGCATCCCACACTCCACCCGAGGCGCACCAGAGCAGAAGACATATCGTGTCTTGGGCGCTGCCAACCCACAGACGCAGGTTGCCGCCTCCGCGGAGCCGGGGCGCAGGCGCTTGGCGCCATCTGCTCCGCGGGGAGGCGTTGGGGGACGGGGGGCGACCGCACGCGGCGGCAGGACCGACGGGGGGGGGGATGCGCGATGCTCACAAGCTCGCAACGGTGGCGCGAGGCGACTGCGGGGCGCGGAGCCGGGGCGCGCGGGGCGCCCGGCAAGAAGCCAGCGAGGCGCAAGCCCGGACGGGGCGTCGCGAGGGCGGCGCAGCCACGGGAGAGACGAGGTGCGCGGGGGTGGAGCGGCAACACATACACGAAAAGGCGGCGCGGGCGGGGAAGAGCGGAGTAAGCGAGGGGCGCTTAGGGAGGAGCGAGGGATGGGGCGCGCGGGCGGCGGACGGCCGCGGGTTGAATGCGCGGGGAGGGCTGTACGGAGGCCCGGCGGCCCTGGGGCAAGCAGCCGGAGACAGCGTGGAGCGAGCTGGCGCTGGAGGCGCGGAGCGGGGAGACGTGTGGATGGTGGGGGAGCGTGGAGGCGTGGAGAGGCCGGACGGGCGTAGGGCGAGTGGCGCTGAAGCGTGGACAACACCGGCGGTGCGCGGGCGTGGAGGCTGGAGGCGCGCGGCGCGAGGCGCGGGAGCGGCAGCGGTGCGGCGCGGGGGAGGAGCGAGGGAGGGGCGGAACGGCGACATGGCGCCCGCGGCGTGTTCCGGAAGTGGCCCGGCCGCTCCTACACCGCCGCCCTAGCCCACGCCCATGCCCACGTCCTTCCCGTCCTCGCCTGCCCGTCCTCGCGCGCCACACCGCCGCGCTGTTCGTGATGCCTCGGGTCCTCGCGGGCAGCGCTGTGTGGATGCTGTGTGCGTTTCGGCCGCACCCACAATCCACTAAGGTGATTGACCAGCTGACCGATAGCAACCTATTCGCCAGTCTGGTTTATCACACGTGAACATTTGTCAAGTATCAGAAATACTACTCTTTAACACATCGAGATTTTTACACTGGATGTGTTCATTAGTACCATCGAGTTCTCAAGTAGTTAAAATAGCACTTATTTTCTTATATCTAATTGAAAAAAATATATAAGAGAAATAAGTTAAGACTCTTCATGATTCCACTTCAATCAATTCTTGAATGAAGTTTCTTCTGTTCCTTGAGTTTAAACACTATTACATTCCGTAATCATTTTGTCTAGCAACTCAAAGTTATGTCTTTGAACATAAATCATTTAATGTTCAGCCATTTCAAAGCTAATCTGCTAAATGTTTGTAATAAACACCATTTTCAGATGAGAACAGAACGACTTGATAAAAATACTGCATTTACTCGCTTGTTAATTGTACACAGGGGGATTTGATGATAATTTGAGAGGTTTTTCCATCTTCCGGGCATTACCTCTGCATCTCATAATCTCATCACTGCCACAGCCGTCGCCAACTCCGCCGTTTCTCCAACTTCTTTGCTGCTGCTATTGCTGCCTCCGTTACTGGAACTGTCATTACCACTGCGTTCGCCACCTATTCTCGCATCGCTATCACCACAACCAATACCGTTACTTTCATTACCATTCGTTACGTCCTTTACCGAATCCCTCTCCCAGTTCTACTATATCTATCGCTATCAGTCTTTTTTCTAGTCTATTTTGTCCGTCGTAGCGCTACCGCCATAGCCAGCGTTCACGATCGCCAGCGTCCACTACAAGATTCGTAACGGTGCAAGGGCTCCTATTCCAAACTGTGGAACTTGCACCCTCGTGTTCTTTTACCAGTTCAAAAGGACTTCTTCACTTTTGTTAAATACACTTCTGTGATGTCTAGAAGTTATTTTGCTACACAAGACGCTTTTATATTTCCCCAATTCATTCACCAACGCTTCTTTACAAATAAGTTTATTACAAAAATTAATAAACAAAAACAATTCATCTAGTCACCAGTAAGATATTAATACCGTTTCAAAAATACATCGCATAATTACTTCTACGAAACAATTTGATTTACTCATATTACAATAATATATTTTACTTTTGTGTGAATTGTACAAAATCATAGCTCTAGTCGGAGTAAGTATAATCTCACTCACAAAGTCTATTACTTTGGCAACCTACACATCCCTCTCCAAAGTTCTCATGTTCAACAACTCATGTTACTACGAGGCCTACAATACTTCTGCAACGTTACAGAATGACTCATAACACTACATTCTTGCATAGTGCAAATCAATTTACCCAAAATTATATTTAAAATAACATTAATATTTACAACAATATAATAGGGACACCTTCTGCCACGAAACACACACTCACCACTGTCAGCAACGCCGTCTTCGCTGTTCGCTTTCCGCAGTCCCACATCACGGCTGCCTGCTTCCCCGCCCCGGTCCACCCGTTCGTCTTGCTTCAGCTCTATTAATCTCCATTAACAGCGAAGAGGGCGTTCGTTAGGTGGAGCGAGGGGCTAAGGAGTTGAGACCGCAGCCTGTTCTCATTGCTCCAAAAGCGCTTCAAGATAAGGGAAGTCCTGTGAATAAAAAAAAATAATCGCCCATCAAATGGTCATAATTTTCTTCTAATAATAACTCACACTTTTGTTTCGCACATTTTGCACATTTTGCTGTAGCGGAGGTTGAGCCTGATTGGCTCACGGAGTAGGAGATTATCGGGTTTGTAACATCGACCGTGTAGTTTCCACGAGCCCTTGTTTTGAGTCATATGTCCTTCACAACCTTACGAACTTCCCACAGAGGTAGGTATTTGGCTGCCCGAGAGACGCCGGCATAGTTGCCAACAGCCATGTGGCTACTGATTCTGACCATGAAAGCCTCCGTTGTAACTTCCCACAGAGGTATCAGTGATATCAGTACAAGGACGGTGAAATTGTAATAACTGATATGGTTTAGATCACGGAGAGGTCGGGAGTGATATTTTCGTGGTATTTTGATCATCTCTTGTATTACTGGGAAGAAAACGTTTATTCCCTCTCTCTATCCCTCTCTTTCCCTCTCTCTTTCCCTCTCTCTTTCCCTCTCTCTTTCCCTCTCTCTTTCCCTCTCTCTTTCCCTCTTTTTTATAGAAATCTTCAAACTAGCTGTTCGGTTTTGTGTATCAGGATGATAATTTAGTTTGCCAGCATATAGTATACGTCTCAACGTTATGTGAATATTTCATAAATCTTTTTTTTTATTGTGTGAGGCAAAAAGGCAACCAGTTGTTAGCACGAAAATGACAATACTCTGAAATCCTCTCAGGCCTCTTCATATAGTTTTTCCGCCAACCAAAGAACACATTAACATGCAAAAAATCTTTATGCTATTGATTAAACACGTTCGTGATAGTTGAACAAAACAATGAGAATATTAAAAAGCATAGTGATGCTACAACATTTCACACATTTTCCCAAATAACTGGTAACGGTGTAAACTGATCGAAGAATAGCCATTTTGAAGAATTTCTTGTGAATGGTTTGGTGTTAATTGTTGTCCAAAGATGTTGTACAGACAAAGCAGGAGTTAAAAAATTAGATATCTGATCCCTGATATCGACAATTTTTTAAGTTTTTATTTTGATTTCTGGTCCTTGTTATCTGCACCCGTGCTTCTCGCGTCAAACTCTTGCCACCAATATATTTGCACAATTACTGTACGTCGTCTATGCTAAGTATAGAAAAAAATTCAAAAAGAATCGCAGCTGCCCGCCCCCGCATCAGCACCTACGACACAAAAAGCGGCTCCCACTGCGCCAGCCTGCCGGAGAGCTCTGCTCCCGGAGACCCGGAGGCACTGCGGCTATTTGAGCCGCCCCCGGAGCACAGCAGCGTAAAAGACTCGGCGGGATCGCTTTATTTTCCGGGAAGGAAATAAAGTACTTAAAGGCTATTAAAAATTCTCCCAAGAAAGTGAAAAAGGATTTCAGCAAAAAAAGAGAGCGGGTAGGAAGGGCGAGAGTTTAAAATTATCTGCTGCTTATCTGGCCATTTACATAATACAACCGTTAGCGGAGAACGAGGCGGGGTGCGCGAGCGCGGGGGTGAGGAGGGAGGGGAGGGGGAGGGGGCTGCGCTCCGATGCCCCCTAGCGGCGAGCCCGAGAAATGTCGATGCGTGCCCCCCGGCGCTAAACTCGCGTTCAAGTTTTCGGCGAATGAGATGAGATCTGGGTTTCCGTGCTGAGGGCGTACGCGATGGGCTGTTCCTGATTATGGCGGACTTCCCTTTAGGGCGCATCTTGCTGCGGCGAGTTACAGCCCTGTCTGCAAGAGCGGGGGGCGAGTGAGATAGGGTTCTTTGTGCTCCTACGTTTCTTACATCGGGGATTTCATTTAAGAAGCGTATATTTGTTTCCATAACCCTACCTTTAATACAAGGTTCTTATTGTTTAAAAACTAGGGTACAGAATGGCACAGACTTTCCCGTATTAGTTTTCTATTTCCTTTAGTTTCGACTAGTTATTCAGACTTGCCATATACTCTTGCCAGCTGCCATTTATCGACGCTCAAAATACATTTTTTGAAATTTTAATTTTTTCGGTTTCCTAATAGTTTATTAGTTTATATTAGTTTAAGAATATATTAGTTCAAGAATATTAAAGAAGAGTAAAACTTCCTAAATGGCAATTTCTTGTGGAAAATTTGGAGCTGGATCCAAGAAAATTGTATTTAATCGCTACTGTAAACTGGAAATTTGAAGCTGTTTTTCACAGAACATGTTTGAGTTTTCTAAAAGCTTCATTTGAAGCACACTAACTCACAAACATAATAGTGTTTACAAATTGCGGGAAATGTGCATATTAACGCCGTGAGATATATTTTAAAAAATTGTATTTGCGTAATTTTTGAAAACAAAAAAATACTCTGAAAAGAACTTAAAGAGCGCAACTAGCACTATCCGTTTGAAAAGTTTCAAGAAAATGTTTTTGTCGTTTTTGAGAAAATGGCGTTTTAGCGTTTTTGAAATGCTGAATTATGAGCTGGTTTACAACGAAAAAGGTTGAGTTTTTGAGAAACTTTACCTGACATGACTTAAAGCATATGTACTTATAAATATAATATGAACAAATAGCCGCTGATATGAATATTAACGACGTGAAGAACAAGTCAATAAAATTACATTTTTGTAACTTTTGAAAAAACCAACGAACAGAGCAAACCGATGTTTATATTTCAGAGTATATTTAGCTCTATCGCTACCAAAAGGTTAAAGAAAAAATTTGGAGCCGCTTTTGAGAAAATTGTGTTTTTGTAATTTTTTAAAAATTGCAGGTATTGCTCGCATATTGTGCAAAAACTACTACAATTTTCCAAAAATGTTCATAATCTTAATAAGAGAACTCACTATGGAAACAAATTTTATTTGAAGACATTATCTCATCTCAATTTTGTAGTTGTGGGAAAACGCCGCAAAAAATTAAAAATTTTGCTGTTTTCAAATATTCAGAGTTAACCGTGAAAAGCTGACTTATGATCCTTTATAAGTACATTTTACTCTATTCTTACAAGAAATTTAAAGAAACAATTTGGAGCTGTTTTTGCGAAATTTTTGAAAATACCCGTGGGGCTGCATATAAAGTACCTACAAAAGTTAATGAATGATTTTTCAAAAACGCAGATCTTGGACTGAGGCCATATTGAAAGGGGTTTATTCAGTTTGAAAATAAATAGTACGCCTAGTTTTGATGCTAATATTGTTGACATACACACGGATGGACGGACAGACGGACGGACGTTTTACCATCAATCGTCTTTTCGGTGTCAAGAACCCACAAAGCAGGGATACTGGCTACACCACGTGTTAGAGGATTTTTTTCTGAATTTAGTAACTGGATTTATCCAATTTTTTTCATTTTCAGGTCCCGGCAATGAATTTTCTTCGGCCGAAAATCCGCCGTTTTTTTCGCGCAGTATTACATAACTTTCCCTATACTACATATATTACTCCGTATACTCGTACGTATACGGGAAATTAATAGTAATTTTCATTTGTAGGTAAGGTAAGGTATTTGTATAAAAGTGCTTAAATCTGTAAGACTAATGTATAATGCAGGTATAAACTGCAAGAAGGTGATACAGACTCCAGAAATGTGAAAGAAGTTTCTGTTTTCGTTCGATACTGAGGAACTCGTGGAAAAAAACAACAACAAATAATACATAGTTTTGAGTTTCACTAAAAATGCAAATATTATTCCGCTTGAAGACAGAAATGATTGATTTTGTATTTAATTACCATTTTATGAAGGACCATAAATTCATACACCCTGTTAAAATGCAGTGGTATCACCATGTTATGAAATTGATTGTGGATTCCAGAGATAAGATTACAGACATTACCGCAGAGTGAAAATTATTTCACATTAAAGTGATATGTTGTTTTCTTTTGTTTAAAGTTGTTGACATATGTAGGTGGTATTATTTCGATAAAATATGTTATATTTCGAAGGCTATTGCATCGGCAATGCGGCTCGAAGAGTTTTTCATAGTTTTAAATTTTATATGCTAATTTGTACAAAAACAAATAGACTTCCGTCAAAGGCGAGAACATCAGTTGGCTTCCCTATAAATTCGAGATCTCCTAATTCCGCGTGAGACGTGAGACGTGAGACGTGAGGCGTGAGGCGTGAGGCGTGAGGCGTGAGACGCGAGGCGTGAGGCGTAAGACGTGAGACGTGAGACGTGAGACGTTCGTTGCCGCAGGCCTTTCCTGTTCATTTACAATTTCATATAGTACACGCAAAAATTCAAATATTTTTTCTTGAAAGAAAACAACATAATCCTTGCAAGCTATAATTTACTGTACATTTTCACTGATTCGGTTTTCTGCTAATCTTTTCAATGGTAGTAATATGTAACACGTCACTTGAATTTCAGATTTAACGTTACCAGATAAAGAATGATTGATTCAATAGTTTTAAATTATCTTTTGAATAATTGAAAGTCCTTCCTAGAATTCCTATTACCTGATCTGACTAGATTTTCAAATAATGATTGTATCCTTATTGGATCGTTCTTATTTTTATCCACAGCTAGGTAAACGAGGATCTGCTCCACAAAAGCTTTGCCGTCTTTTTGCGTCCTCTCGTGACCTTCAGCCTCGCCTACAGCCGTCGTTGCCTCGGTTACTTGACTTACGCGTTCGGGATTACCTTGCTTCATGTGCCCCGCGCGTCCAAGAATTTCATTTCCAGTCGCTTAATATGCAAGGAGGAAATGAAAATGATCCAAAGTAACGTGCAATGGACTGTTCATTCTACCAACCATATAAAGCAATGCTTCTTTGTTATAACCATCAAATACTCTTCTGCATTATAACCGTTGCATGAAGAACAAGACATACGAGACATACGACATTCGTATAACGGAAAAATATAATAGGGAAGAATACTGAATACTGAAGTAGTATACTGAAGGGAAGAATACAATTTGTGTCAATTACACTCATATTTACTACACGTGCTCTTCACTTTCATTTCATTACGTTTGTTTTCTATAACGCACTTTCTTCTACTCATTTGCTATATTTTAATAATTTAAATTTAAGGAAATTAAATTACCTATTCGTTTTGTCTTTGAAGAGTTTTGAAGTGCGATCGGTGGTCGACCGTGTTGAATGCCCAGATTCGTCGATCTGCTCTCTTCCTGAACACAGCCTGCCCGTTCTGCTGCTTCTCATAGAAACAGCGATTTCTTCGAAAGCTGACCATCGCCTCGCCTACTAAGTACACTAGCGTATCCTACAGTTTATTTCAAACACTAGGCGCGCCAGTTGCGAATCTACTTTCAGTACGTTGTAATCGTACTGACAGTACTAGTACGTTGGTGTCGTTGTAATCGTCACCTGGCGTCTGCACCTGATCCTGGCTTCTGCGCGTGTCGCATCGTATGTGGCGCGGCCTTCGCCTGTCGCTGAGGCATTTGGCGACCGCAGAGCCTCCTCAGCCGCCCCCGCGGACGAGCAGCTAATCGAGCGCGAGAGCTTTGTGCGCGCTTGGCACGCGGCGCTGCCATCGCCCGCCCTCCCCCCGCCCCCTCCCCGCCCCCCTACCCCCGCCGCCACGCACACCTCCCCGCCCCTCGCCGCACCCGCACCTTCAACTACGCGGCAACGGGCCCCGCGCCCATTCCGAGCGTCGCTGTCAACTTCAGGTACTTACAGCAGCCCCACGGTCTCGCCCCGCCATGACAGCTCGGCTCCACACGCCACAACATGCCACCACTGGCACGCACCACCCCACCGCCCACACACCACCCCCCCACATCGTAGCGAAGTGCAGGGTGTATTTACGAATTGCCACTACTGGCTATTGCACTGACAAGAGTGCGTTAAAGGATACAGAATACTGGAAAGACTTTTTTTTACACACTGGAAGGTTATTATTGAAAAGAAACTAAATTATTCACCATTGACGGCTAAAAGAAAATACGACAGGTGTACAAAATGAAAACTTGCAAGAAATTATCGATTAGTAAATTAAAGATGACATAGGGCTACATGTTCAAAAAACTTTTAAATCGATTTAATATGGATACAGGAATTTGGGTCAAAATAACAAATGCAACAAGATATACAAATATCACAACTGCACCTCACTTCCGAGACGGTCTAACAATACTAATTGCCTAAAAAAATTGAAACTAAGCAACTACAAGTGCAACAATCTATAGATCTACGGGCCTATAATCAAAGCAATATATACATATATATATATATATATATATATATATATATAGATATAATATATATATAATGTATACTGCCAGTGCTTAGACATCTTAGATACCCAGAATTTATGTAATAAGATTATGCATTATAAGACGTAATTTTTATTTTATAAAATTATTAAACTGACCCCAGAAAAAACAGAAATTAATTGAACCCCCACAAGTTGTCAATAATTTATGTTAAACTGTCAAAAAAAAATGTTATAGGCGGATTTTACTAAATATAATAAATTATCTTTAGAAAAATGTAAAAAACGAAAGTGTAGTTAGTGTAAGTATTTCACATATACCACACCCTTTAGATCAAACAAATGTATTGTAATGTAATTACGAATTATCAGATAAGGTTAAATAAATCATTTTTGCTATGACGCCGGCCCAAGCACCCTCAACGCCAATGCCGTATCCTAAAGCTAGGAATCCACGGGTTAGCAAAGCGTGACAATTCTGGCTCACATCGGTTTGTAAATCTGCCCGCAATCCGTAGCGGCACCAATACACCAATAGCGGAGACCGTTACTACTTGTACCAAATTCAATGTCGCAGCAAGCAAAATATTATTACAGAAAATAATGACTTCTTAACCAAAAGCAATAAAAGCCATTGGTGATTCCACTACCCGCGAATTTCTTATCGGTTGACGTGTCTCACCGGTGTAAAGTCAGTCACGCATCCGTTGTGCGAGCAATTGAAGCAAGGTGCAGCTGTAAGCAGGCAACCGGCACCAAGGCCATATCTTCAATTTCGCCGCTTACTCGTAGTGCCTAAGCTTCTTCCACCTACTCGCGCGGTTGACTTTCATTTCATCTCCGCTTTTCTGTCGTTTATTGTGGCTATTGTTAACAAACAATAAAAAATGCCAAATAATAGCGTGTTTAACATATACAAGAGAGAGCATTTCCTGAATCCCCTTTAGTTTCCAAAACAATGCCACTACTACATTTCACTCTCAAATTACTATCTCTTGCAGACCCCATTACTATGTACAATTTACAGTAAGTAATATTTTATGATATTGATAGGGAGATGAAGTTCTAACTTATCATAAAGCCAATAAATTTTATTACTTCCCTACCATACAAGAAACGGCCAATACGTTGTTATATTATGTATTACTTTGATAGCATAAAACGACTGTAAATGTAAGTTCAAATTGAAATATTATTTAATGTATGACCTGAGCACGACTGACGACGAAAAAAAGTGTTTCCGAAGCGTGAGCAGCTGAAGCTGAGAGGCTTCCGTCATGGAGACACTCAATCATTGGAAATTCAAATCCAATTAACTACTCAAATTTAAGATGACGGAATACCAATTGGGCAATGTCTCTTTTTCACCGTAGCTGTACGAAAACCTATCAAAAATTAAGAGAAATTGCAAGACTTTGCTGCGATTATGTTTGTAAAAAAACTTCAACAAAAATATAATAATGGTAGCTCATGGAAATACTCAAATTCCAATTATTTTATCCATCATTAAGTAATATTAATTGCTGTTTGTAAAGGCATTGTTGCTGCCCCAGAATATAACATACCCCGCGACCAAAGCGCCACTTTCCAATCAGATAATTGTCTTCGTCAACTGACAAGTTCCAAAACAACTTGTGGTCCCAGTCTTTCTACTAAGAACCCGAATGACAAAAACGTGTAGGATGCCTATCCTCATCAGTTGCATCACTCTCCGAGCGATCAGGAGATAAGTGCCGGTAAAGGATCCGGTGTATTGAGCGCAAAGAAATAAATGTATCAGGGCGAGGGGGGGCTTCTTCTCGTAGCAGGGCACGTCACCCTAGTTAGTGAGCCGGCGACCCACCCAGACCACGTATGTGCGCATAGGACGTCCTTCGTGCGTCTATGTGTGTGCAGTGCGTGTGTGTGTGTGTGTGTGTGTAGTCTGTGTTGACGCAGCGAAGGAGATAGCGGGAGCGAGGAACGCGGTAGTCCGCTCCCTCGCCGCGGACCTATCGTGAAATGCGGCCAGATGCAAATGCAGGCCCACCGTAACCTGGGCCGACGCGCCGATGTAAAATAGAGCGGGCCGGGGAAGCGGGCTGCTAATTTCCCCAATAATTTGTCTCCGGAGCCCCCCAGGTGGAAGTGGGTGCTTATCGGCCCATTCGCGGCTTCCGGCGTTCGCGTCGCGGAGCCTTCGTCCACCCCTCCCCCCGTTCTCCGCCCGTCGTCGCTGGCCCTACGCCCGTCCCTGCTGCAGACAACGCCCCGACACCAGCTCCCCCGGAGACCGATACCGCATCATCGCTCATTCTCTATGAGTGTACTACTCTCCCCGTTCCAGCACTATCACTCGCACCAAATCAAACCACTCAAGAATCCTTCCCCCTCTCCAATTCTCGCTCCATGGCTTCAATTCCCAACGCTACGCCATGTACAGCAGCCCCCCGCGCTTTCTACGCTCCACCACCATCTCAACCCTCACGCCATTCTCAAACCCTTCCCGCCATTCTCAAGGTTACCCTTCTCTTCCAATTGCCTATCAACAACGTTCAAATTGCAATGTCCCAGCAGATCAAAGCCTCACGCCTATATCTAGGGCCGCACACATACTCATCAAGGCTCAACTCTAAAGGCAACCACAGTTTTCCCGTCAGACTTAACCTCCACTATCAGATGTTCTGAGCTAATTTAAACTGTTCTCTGCATTCGCTACCAACTAGCATTGACACCTCTCACTGCCTCCCCCCTCTCACTGCCCACCGCTAATCTCACTCTCGCGTCTCTCTCACTGGCCTGAAACATCACTGTCGCCGCCCGCACTACTCTAAACATCCCTGCTACCAGTTCCACCGCCTCCCAGTCACCCCCTCTAACAACCACTACTGTCATTCTTCGAACAACCTATCTGAAAACTTCGCGCTACGCTCAGCTATGTGTTCTCTGCGGAGTGTGCGCAATGAAGTCGAAGAAGGGAAACGTATCTTAACAGCAGTCAATACTATAAACAATAATTAATTAGAAGCTACGTGAGTAGCTCGTCTAATACATCCATCACAGGTTACGTAAAAACAATACTCCAAAACAACCAACTAACTAGTTCGCCTTAATATCTTCACCTGTGATTGCCCACCGCAAACAACCCGCTAAAACACGGTTCCTCGTTCTCTTCCGTGATAATCAACGCCTAAGTACTGGGATGGCCGCAAACTCTTTGAATTGTTTCTTCGCAATTCCCCTCTTTCTTTGGTGGTCTAGCCCC